GTTCACAAGGGCATGTAGCAATAGGATGAGCGGTAATGGTTTTAAACTAGAAAAAGGTGTATTTAGGTTGGATATTAGGAAAAAGTTCAATATGAAGGTGGTAGATCATTGGAACAGGTTGCCCAGAGAGGTAGTGGAGGTTCCATCTCTGGAAACATTCAAAGTCAGGCTTGATGGGGCTCTGAGCAACCTGCTCCAGTAAAGATGTCCCTGCTCACTGCAGGGGGGTTGGACTAGGTGACCTTTGAAGGTCCCTTCCAACCCAAACCATTCTGTGATTCTATGGTTTAGTTGATGACTTGTCAGTGTGAGGTTAATGATTGGACTTGATGATCTTAAAGATCTTTTCTGATCTTGGCAATTCTGTAATAACCCCCAGGAAAAAAAAGATCTTTTCTGATCTGGGCAATTCTGTAATACCCCCCAGGGCTGAAATAAATAACGGCAGCTCCCAGGCCTGTAGAAGCAGGCAACAGCTGCCACAGAGAAGGGTGTTGCTGCCGTGCTCACCGTTCCTGGCAAACCTTCCCTGGCTGCTCCAGTCACACACTCCTCAGCTCTGCAGTGTGGTGGGTGGTTAAGCTGGGGCTTGGCTCCCTGGGCCCAGCTTTTACCACTCCACTGTCTCAGCACAGCCCAAGAGAGAGATCAAAAGGGACACATTCATTGGCCTGGAAGTGGGTTCATGTTGAGTGTGAATGTTTTAAAGTGCTTTCCACTGCCTGAAGGGGTAGATGTTAAAGGGGAGCACCTGGGCTATCCATCCTGCTTGCACAGTTTCCTTATCTGTGGGGAGCCCTTATTTCAATCTCTGTGCTAGTTTGGGTCTGTTTTCTGTGGGCTGGTGAGTTATTTCATGAGCTCTGTGTGCACATTTCCCTGGGGAGGAGAGAGCAGCAATGTTATTAACAATACACAGCACTTGAGTCCAGGTACAAGGAAGGATCTCGAGAACTCCTACGTGACTTGCTTGTCCAGAGAAAGGTAACAAAGCTGTGAAGGGTCTGGAGAACAAGTCTTACGAGGAACGGCTGAGGGAACTGGGGTTGTTCATTCTGGAGAAGAGGAGGCTGAGGGGAGACCTTATCACTCTCTACAACTACCTGAAAGGAGGGTGTAGTGAGGTGGGGGTCAGTCTCTTCTCCCAGGCTACCAGTGATAGGACAAGAGGAAATGGCTTCAGGTTGTGCCAGGGGAGGTTTAGATTGGATATTAGGAAAAATTTCTTTACTGAAAGGGTTGTAAAACATTGGAAAAGGCTGCCCAGGGAAGTGCTTGAGTCACCATCCCTGGACATTTAAAAGACAAGTAGATGTGGCACTTAGGGACGTGGTTTACTGGGCATGGTAATATTGCGTTGACTGTTGGACTTAATGATCTTGGAGGTCTTTTCCAACCTTATTGATTCTGTGGTTCTATGATTCTATTCTATTCTATGACTTGTTTTGTGTTTGTTTTGATATATTATGCCCCAGGATATGGATTGTGATGGTGGTTGTAGCTACAGTGACCTACAATTGAGGTCTGCGCTAGTGTTAAGTGCAGGAAAGCTGAGAAATTTTTATTATACAATAGTAGATTGTTACAAACATTTCTGGTAGCCTAAAGCACGTCCCTGGATCTAGTACTTACATATTTAAACAAGTAGTTGGAGCTGAAAATCAAACTGTCTTTTAGGAATGCAAAGTAGCAGCTTAATTATCATGTTAGTTTCCTTGTACAGACCTTTTTAATGACTTGGGGCATTTTTGTGTGTACAGGTTCCTGAATATGGTTTAATTTAATGGCTTTGCTGTAATACCAGTGTCTCTGCTCTCCAGCAAGGTAAACCAGCTTCTGCTGAAAACTGGTGTGCTTTTCCTGTAAGGCAGGTGTTTGGGAAGGCCTGTTCTGGGCAGGACTCATTTCTGATGGCATCAAGGTGTAACTGTGTATAGAGTGTATTGGATGACTGTGTAAATGTAACAAACTGCTTTTATTCCCAGGCATTAAGCTCCGTCCCTATCAAATAGAAGGTGTAAACTGGCTGGTGCAGTGCTATGAAATCCAGCATGGCTGTATCCTGGGCGATGAGATGGGTCTTGGGAAGACTTGTCAGGTGTGTCTTCTTCTTCTGGAAAAATGAACTTTGCCTAGCTTTTTTTTTATCCCACTGTTTCTGCATAATGAAAAAGAAAAAATACCCTAATGTTTGATCAGTTAAGCAGCCTCATCCTGAAGTCCATCCTCAAAAAAGAGCACTCATTGTTTCTTTCATTCATTAATCACTTAAAACAAGTGTTAAGTCCCGAGTAACACTCTAAAAAGGTTTCAGGTTTTGTAAAAAGGTGAGTGGTCATTTTATGCAGACACTTTAATGCATAATAATTGAAGGCACAATGCATAGCCAGTACAGAGAGGATGATGTCATTTTGCTGCACCTGCAGCAGTATGATTTTTTGAGTTTCTCAACACATGGATTAAAATTTAGAGGTGTAAATTTTTCAGAACTATTTTTTTTTGTAAGTTTTTCAATGGGTTTCAGTTTTGTTGGAAAGTAACTGTGCTTTGGTTCAGCTGGTGGTATTCAATGGGTCTTAGATAACAAACTGGTAGTTTTAGCTAGATCTTCTTTTTTTGTGACTGTGGCAGAAAGGCCTTTGTAAAGGGACTCCAGATACTGAAGTCACATTTTGGGATCTAAGTTTTTTTGTCATTGACAGGACATTTGATATCCTGTTAGCTCTGCTTTGTGCCAGAGAAACAAAGCTCAACAAGGAGACAGTTTATGTAGTTTCAGGCTATTGGATTGAACCCTTCCCTTGTTATAAAAAAAATATTTTCCTTACCTTCTAGGCTATTTCTCTAATTCTTTATTTGACAAAAAAATTAAAGAACAAAGAGAAATTTCTGATACTTTGTCCTCTGTCCGTTCTGAGCAACTGGAAGGAGGAACTGGAGAGGTAAGTTTCAACAGTTGTCTGGCTCATCATGTTCTTGCACAGAGAGTTACAAAGATTCTCTTCAAATGTACCAAATCCATCAGTTTTCTTCCTTTCAAAAGAAAAAAAGTAAAAAGGAACACTACTAAATCAATAAATCAATGCAAACTATGGAGTTATTGCATAGTTTTTACAATGCTGTGGCATACATGAGTTCATCCAACTGAAGTCCAAATGCCCCTACTAGCTCCTTGTTTTTTATTGATTTGTAACCCTCCATGCTCAGCCTCTCTTAGGCAAAACCTGCTGAAGACAGCCAGGATTCTGTACGGTAAAAGGTAAGACCCAAGTTGAACAGTATCTTTCTTGGCATGCTCACATGTGCATGCAAAATACATTGCATCTGTGCATGCAGCCCACCTTCACCAGGGTGCAGTGACTGTGCTGATGGCACATTTGCTATGCCCAGAATTTATACTTTAAGCTGGAGCCCAAAGATTCCTTTTAAGAGGAAGGGCAGAAAGTTAAAGATTAGAACAGGAGTCTGTCTATGTGGCTGTCGGGTGCTGCTGTTTCTCAGCATCTGGAGTCATCCAGGTTACATTCTGAAGTGAGCTGGCCTGATCTGGATAGTCTTGCAGTTGGAACAGTTGGAGGAAAGCCCTTCCCTTCATACCTCAGCAATGAACAGCTGTCCAGGAGGAACACTAGGCACATATCAGTGGTGGGATTAAATGAGGAAGAATTTTGTGGTCCCAACTCTTCCTCCATAGAACTGATTTTATCTGCTTTTTGACTAAGAGGGTAGCTATTTGAGGCCTTGACTTGGACCTGTTTGTGGCAGATATTTTTGCCTTTATTTTAGCATGATTTAGGCCAGTCTTTTGGTCCCAGCAGGGCAAACTGTATTCATTCACCTGCTTCTCATGAACTTTTTCAGTTCAGAATAACAGATGGGCCATGAGACTGGTTATTAATCATCTGCCTTGGACTTTGAGACCTAGGAGAACGTGGTTTATTTGGGACTTGTCCAAACCAGAACCAGCAGCTGAGGTGCCCACCTGAGATGCAAATTAATCAGGAAAGGGTCAGACTCAAAAGCTGAGGTCCTGCAACATCTCCCAGGAGGGCAGGGCGTTTGGATAGGAGGTTCTCGTTATCTGTGCAGTAGCTGTGTTTGATAATGGGGTCCAGGGTTATAAACACATGAAAGACACAGCTTGGCTCACCGTTTTTCTCTGTCTTTCTCTTGACAACAGGTTTGCTCCAGGTCTTTCCTTTGTAACATACATAGGCAGCAAGGAGGAACGCCCCAAACTGCAGCAGAACCTGAAAGAGCAATCTCACTTCCACGCGCTCTTGACAACGTATGAGGTACGTGATGGCTTTGTCACTTGAAAGGAGGGCTCAGGTTTTTCCTCACCTTTTCCATTCCTCTGTACCACCCAGCTCATGCCTTGTCCTCTGTACTCATCTCTGACCATCCTCAGTGATTTTCTATTCTGTAACCCATTCCACAAACTGATCTAAGTTGCTGCAGTTTTTGTGTCCTTATTTAACCCCAGCTTTACTGAATAGCTGTATAATACCTTGAGTAAAGAAAACAAGCACGGGTCCATCCTTAACTAATGCTAAGAGGTATCTGCATCGTCTTCGTATGGTGCCTTACAGACCTGTAACATTTAATAGAAGTGTAAACATGATGTTTATTAAGATTGTATTATCAGGCAGTGCAAGAACACGTAGAAAGAGTTTGCCTTTTTTGTGTCCTCTACCCACGTGCTCCCCTCTTCAGACAAAGCTATTATTCCTGGACTGCAGAATGGTGAGATTCATGTTACAATTGATAGGACTTTGGCCTGAATCTGGTCAGAGCTCTCCTGCTATAAATGGAACCAACCAAAATAGAGTTGCTTCCTTGGGCACTTCTTTGGACTTTGCATGATCTGGTGCTTAGTAATCTGGAGTGGGAAAAAGCCTTTATTTTTCTCTTAGGAGTAATCCTACTCAGGTGTTACTTCATATCAGCACTTTGATTTTATTTTAACAATCTCTTAACACACACACACACACACACACACACATGAACTTGAAATTAGATGAAAAGCATCTCTTACAGCTCCTTCACCCCCACACTTCTAATCTCTGTTTCCCTTTGC